TTCCAAGAAAAGATATCCTGTTTAAGACAAAAATTGATAAATCGATACCCTGTTTAAGACAAAAATCTCGAATAACATACCCTGGCTGGCCGCACGTCCCCATTAAGCCCTTATAAGGGAGTACCCCCCGGGTTAGCCGTTAACTAGCTGATAAGTGGCAAAAATGCATTGAGGTAAATACCAGGATGAGCACTACCCATAACAAGCTTAGATGTTCCATCCACGGTAAGAGGTAATGGTAAAGATTTCACACGTTTTAGATATGGAATAGGTAATGAAAGTTAAACATTTTGAATTTGATGCAACAGACTCAAATGATAACAAACAGTAGCATAAATTAAAAGGGGCAAAAATTTTCACGAATGGGTGAAATACGTTTGTAGGGTATTCCAGCAGCGAGTCAAGTCTGTTTATTAGCCAGCGTATCATAATTTAGCTAACGAATTATGTAAGAGGGGGCTGTGGTTCGAATTATGGAGGCTCAGATTTTTCTGTGTGCCACGGTTGCGAAACATCGTAATTGAACACCTCCATTCGAAGCATATTGTTGGTTTGGTTAGTTCTTTTGCTTTGAGAGAAATTCATAGCTTAGAAATATATTAGATATTAATTAAGATGTTAATAACTTGAGATTATTCACATAGTCAGTTATCGATTACAGAGACCAAAATCGTTCCAATAACCTGTCCACACCAGCGTAACATGACGGAAACCAACGAGCCCCAGCTTATCAAACCTTCATTCCTGAACGACAGTCTACGAAATCATACGCTTGATCACATGGTTGTTAGCCCTACTTAAGGTTAGGAGTTTTATCCTAACTGAGTAAAAGGTACATCTCTCGTCCTAACTAATTTACATGAACTCTGTGCTTTTTTAATCCATTTGATGAGAGGTTCTTAAGCCGTTGAGAATCCAACCAGTAAACTGGGCGGAAAGGAATATGTTTATATTGAGCCAATTACCTGCTGAGTTGATTCCTACGTTTTCTAATCTTTAGACAGATTAACGTTTGAGATTGATTGTCTAGGCAATTGCTGGTCTCAATTCGAACAAATGTTAAAACTGCAGGTGGCAGTTGACTGCTTCCGTCGGGTTGCGCTTGTGTTTAACCTGTCAAGATTGATATTGAGTAAGAGCATTAACCACTGAGTCATCAAACGAAAAGTGAAGTTAACAGCAAAAACGAGAAGCATTAGGTCGATTGGAAGTGCTTTATGCCATAAGGTTTCCTCTTTGCCTCCTCACAACTGAACCTCACAAAGAATACATGATGGTTTCGCACAATTCACCCTCTTCAGTAAACTCGACGATATCCCCGTATTATCGTTGTCGAGTGTAAAGCTGGACATTATTTAGACACAGGGAATTACGCCGAGTTTTATACTTCGTGGTATATCGCCGCATTCACGTAGGTTAAGTTTGGAGAGAAAAAGTTAAAGCTACTTACCCTTCATGCATTTGGTTAATATTACAGCCCCCACAGATATTCCCGCAGAAATTGTCAGCGGAGACTGAGTTAAAATTCACAACACGTGTCATAGTCTTGCTTGCGATCCATAGAAACACTATACTTTTAAAAGTCATAAAAGTTGAAATCAGATTAAAGGCTTACTTGATTGTTATAAATCATCATTTATATCGACAATTCGGGTAATTTTCCATAACCACTCAGTCCAGTCAGTGTATTTCCATCAGGTGGACGTGTTTTTAACTTTCCGATTCGTTTTTGTAACAAAAACTAGTCGAGCACATGTTCGTTGACTTCAATATCAGAGCGATTTACATATGATTGAAGGTATTTTGATCACAGAATTAAGCTTTTGAAGCCGGTTTTTTCCCCAAGTCAGACCCTAAACCCAGGTTGCAGAATCTTATGGAACGTGTGCTCACACGTACTTAAAAGACCACGCTTAACCGGGATGCATTGCGGTGGCAGCGTTCATTCTTAGTATTCTCCCCTGTATCCCCTTTTAGCCAGAAAAGGAAAGCTTACCATGTGTTTAATATTTTATTCGACTAAATCTTTGCAATCTTAATCGAGAACTGGCTTCTTATAACCTCATTAGATCTTTAAGTGTCTATCGTCTTTCTGCTTCGTATTTTTGTCGTTTTATTCCGCGTTAGCGATAATTAAGCAATCTAGTAAGCCATATTCTAGACCAATTTTAAAAGCTTGGGATGAGCTTACTAGACTAATTTTAAAAGCATGGGATGAGCGAAAGACAGCTTTAAGATTTGGCAAGAGCCCCTACTACACAATATTTCGGAACTTGGTTGTCCGTGAGACGAGTAAACGCCGTTTAAAATCGATCGCAAGCCCAATCCCATGTAAGTTCTTGGGTGACCTTCCTCTCCCAGTCAAATCAAATTCAGTGATACATTTCTCCAAAATTCCATCTTGGTGCCCTCGATTCTTAAAGCGAATTTCGAAACACTGTATGTTTTTATTAAACGTGGAGCTTGAGTCAATTTCCAGTTAAACTTTCTTGTGTTCAAGAACATAATTTGTGTCTGATATTTTAGCCATGAATAGTGACTACATCGTGGTACTATGTACAGGTGTTGTTTGCCCGACTTCACGTGCTATTCACTCGGAAAGCACCTATCCCAAGGATTTTACAACTTGTAAAGCATCGTTTTGTTCTGCAAACAGGAGGGATAGGTGTTTCCGTTTCATAATTCGGCGTTTACGCCCTTCTCCCACGCTTTGTGTTTGTTAGGTTTACCATAGAAACTGGTTAGACAGTTGAAAAAGTCCACAATCCATGTCGTATTAACTGGCTTCAGGACGCCCAGGCGATGGCAGTGTTGAAAGCTAGATGATGATTTACTTTGGGCCATTGAACCAATTGCCTCAGTCAAAGTTCATTCAAGTTCATAAGGACAAACACAGGGTATTAAATTTTCTTCAATATTTTTTGGTTATCATCTGTTGGGGAAACTTTGTGTAAGAGATGTTTTTGATTGTGAAATCCCTTAAATCGCGACAAGCAAATCTCTTGGAAATAGATAATCGACAGAATTTCATTTTCGCTACAAGAACATTTATTGATGCGTTTAAGTAGGAATTGAACCAAAGTCTTGACTGAACTGCTCAAAGCCCTTTTAAAAAAACCGATTAACGACCATAATTCATCAACTTTGATTCCAAATTTCTGTCAATGACGTTCGTTCGACGGGATCGTAAATCAACTTCTAATCAAGCCTGAAAATGTTGTACATGAGTTTATGGTGGCTCATATCATGCTGATCTCATTTTCTGAGAGTCTCTAATTTGTTAATTACTTCCGAATATGTCAGGTTCATTTGGGGATGCTGTTTCAATGAAGCATAATTCACTCAGATTTGTTTGTTAGGCTATTAACTAGAATGTAAACGCCCATCAAAATGAGGCACAGTGATCCAAATATGGAGAACGCGGTGGGAGCACCAAAGCTGCTTATAAGCAGTCCGCCGATGAGTTCTCCTGATCCATGACCGAGACCCCAGTGAACGCCATGCAAAATACCTAGCAAGGATACAAAAAGGAAACGAATAATTTGAAAATCACCGCGAGAGTAGAATTTGTAGATAGTAAAGTAATAAATAAAGCAGCTCTTTCATAACTTAACGAAGCTTACCCTGCAAAGTTACAGAAGCCCCTTCTACAGAATGAGTGCCCACGTAAGACATCATGGCGGCCCACACAGCTGCAGTGGTAATGCCAGACAGCAGTTCGACTGGGAGAACAGTCCAAGGATTGGTAACAAATGCGTAGTAGAACAAACGTATGGCATAGCATGTCAACCCCAGGTAGAGCACTCTTACGGTTCCAAGAAAGGAAATTAACTTTGTAGAAAGGAAATAGAGTGACACTTCAGCAACGCAGTTGATTGCTGTCATGATACTGAAGAGTATCTGAGTGCCACCTAGGTCTTTCAGGTGCCAAAATAGAAATACCCGGATGAAACCCATAGTAATGCCAACATAGAACGCGGTGATTAAAAACATAGCATGTCTTGGTTGTGTCAGTAGCATGAGTCCCGCTATTATACCTCGGCTGCCACTTTTAGTCGTCTCTTTGCTCTGACGAGGATCATCTTCTGTTGTTTTAGGATCGCCACCAGGTTCTTGGTTGTTTGGTTTACCATTATTATTGAATTCAAATCTCGATCCTACAACTAGAGCAATGATGTTAAACACTACATACATGGCAAAGCATGGATAGTAGTTGACATCCTTTCTTCTTGCGCTGCCAGGAGGACATAGGTGGGTTCCGCTGACCGCCGCACCGACTAGAAATGCCATGGACCCGTAACCGACGGAACCCCACATTCGCTGCTTACCATACTTACGAGTGTCATCATTCTGTTTCAACAGGTTCACAGTTGCTGTGTCCGCGAATGTAAGACTAGGGCACGACAATATGGTAGTGAAAATTGTTGCTAACAAAAGATATAAGAAGACAAATGTATTCTTTCTTGAGGGAGTCTTCTTGGATTTCTGGTCTTGCAAGGCTATCATATCTGACTGAGACCAGGGGGTTTCATCAAGAGACTCGTCCGCCATTTCTGAAACGCTGTCCAAGGAGGTCGTAAGATTGTTCCGTTTTTGTCGTGATGCTCTGCCACTTAGCTGATTAAATCCTACCTTTCGTTTATTCACCCCCATCGGGGATAATTTTTGTATCAGATCTGATATGTGGGAGTGCTTCCGTAGTAAATGAGCTGCTCGTTTTGATTTTGATTTTTTCGGCTCAACTTTATCAACGACTCTTGACTGTGTATTTATGTTGATTGTTGAATTGGTAATTGGAAATTGTAATGATGTGTACCACGTAGAGCGTTTGTGACGTTTATATGAATATGTGCCTCTGTTGGAATCCTTTGAGAGGGCTCGCTTATTATGAGCTTCTGTTGGCTCTGTTTCACAGATACTGATGGGAACAAGAGCATAGGCGACCATGCCTGTTACGACAGCGATCATAGAGATAACAAACATTATCTTCCCTTTCTTGAATCTATCAGCGACGCACCCCCAAAATGGAATGAAGAAGAAAGCGATGTAAGGTTTAATCCCCGTAATAGCTCCAATTTGACGTGCGGGCAGCTCGAGTTGTTTAAAAAATAAAGCCAAATAAGGCAAAAGTGATCCTTGGGCAGAGAAGAAGAAGAAATAGAATCCTTTGGACACCAAGTAGACCTTATTGATGCCACAACAGCCTTCCTTCTTTTTCTCGCTTTCTGCTATGTCACGGTGACCATTTTCAGTTTCCTCTGGGATTTTCTCCGCCATAACTGTCCTTATGCTGTGTACTGTACTCTAATATAGTCTATTTAGTAATATAGAGTAGCTTTGAACAAGAATTATGAACTTTTTGTTGTAAAACGTGATAAATAAGTTATTGAATGCACGTGCAAGTTCAAGTGCGCATCAGATGGGCGGTGATTGTTTGCAGGTGGATCACTGGTTACGGCAGGTTTTTAGAGGAAACAAACCTCTTCTCAAGAGGTATATGTTTTCGAGTAAACACACGATTCTTGGTAAATTATTAGATTATTTAATTCATAGACTGAGAGGTCAGTTGATATTTCTCTTGATAGTCAAATTATTTTTCAGGTGATTCAAGCAATAGTGGCCTTTTGTCACCCGGAAAAAGCATTTGAGCGAAGCTTTAGTTACGAAATAATACTTACATATCTGTCAATCCCGAATGAAGCGCGTCAAAGTTAGCTAATCTAAGTAGAGTTTAAAAGAAGAGCTTTAATATGAATGCGGAACAAAATCTCTGGAGTTGTTGAGTTTTTTTGTTCTCTTTTTGACGGCTCTTGTTAGTCTCCTCTAACAAGCAACGAAACGGTCGACGGAGATGAATTATGTGAGAAATCTTAGGAACTGAACTCTTTCGGCGCGAGTTCAGCTGGGAACGAAGGGTCATAGCTTCCCCTTTGTTGAGTTGTATTGTTGAAACGCCACAACTCGTAGCCGTCTTTTGAGTGGTTAAACGTATTCAGAATTGTATTCTATTTTCGTCTGTCTTCACAACTTTTACATCGATGCATTTTGCTTTTTTTTTAGTATATTTTTCAAATAAAAAAAAACTTGTGACAATCTTCTGTAACAAACTCAACGCTTTTATGAATGTTTCCTTCAAACTGCGCGCCAAAGATCAAATGTAGCAGGCATCTCACTTGTTCATGAAATCTAGAGACACACCTGGTTCTCTGCTCAGTACAATTGGGTAGAGTTTTGGTGTAACCTCCAAAGGTTACTAGTATAGCGGAGAAGACAATTCCACCGCACAGTAGAAATCAAGGTTAATTTTATGGGGTAGGTAATCAAAATTACAAATGAAACTAAAGAAATCGGGGTGAAATTAGGGACGAAAAGGGCGAAGTAGAGATTGAAGATTGCGAAGTTATTATTGAAGGTTGTAGCTGAATTTGTGTGGTTCGAACTAAAAGAAAAATACAGCAGAAACTAAACTAAGAAAATATCCCTGAGAAATGTAACACTAGCCTAATCAACAATGAAGCGACTATGAAGTAAACTGAAAGCAAGAAAGAAACCAATAAAACAGACAAAAAAGGGAAATGTCTTAAATGCAAAATAAAGAAAGACTTACTGTGGTCTAGCTCCTAACGATAGTAGATACTACTACTATCGTAAATAGCAGGCAAAAATTGGGTAGCACCAACACCAACTAATAGCGATGAAGTATGAAATAGAATATCTAGTACACCTATAGTGGCAATGAGAAGCATACAAATGGATCTGGAGGGTTAAATGTTATATGGTTTTCGACGTTCTTAGAGCGCGAGTATAAATATAGGAGTTGGAACTCTTTTCGAGTTTGATTTTCTTGATAGGGCGTCTGTTATACAGACCAGAAATTTTCCTCTGAAAATTACGCAAGCCTTTTCAATATGGCTATTAGCAGAAATGCTGCTGAAAAATTCCAAAAACTGCGGACTATTGGGGATGTTTTAAACGTTAACAACAAGCTTTCTTTGGAGTTCATTTTATTCAATGATAGCTATCTTTTACTTTCATCGTCACTTATTTCTGAGTATTCAGAGTCTGCACTGCAGCCTTCTTTCCCATCTCTGGACCCGCAGAAGTAGTTAATTAAAATATATGCGCCTAAGATAACTAAGCATAAAATACCGAAAATGACGAATGTCGTTGGTGCACCGTAGTGATGCACCATTATGCCTCCAATCACCTCCCCTGCACCGTAACCAAGGCCCCAGTGCACTCCATGCAAAATACACTGCATTGTTGTGGCAGCGCCAGGTCCCGAGTTAATGCTGACGTAAGAGAGGCAGGCAGCCCATACTGCAGCTGTTGTTATACCGGGAAGTAACTCGACAGCCAGGACCATCCACGGGATTGGAATGGCTGAGTAATAGAACAATCTAATTGAGTAACAGATGAGTCCAAGGTATAAAACTTTTGCATGACCAATTCGTTTGATTAGTTTGGCGGAAAGAAAGTACATACTGACTTCCGCGAAACAGTTAACTGCGGAAATGATACTAAAAAGTAGCTGACTTCCACCTAGATCCTTGAGATGCCAGAAAAGGAATGTTTTTATAAATGCCATCAAAAAGCCTAGATATAACGCTGTGAAGAGAAACATGAGATACGTTGGGCTTTTCAAAGCTTGCAGCCCAACACTAAGACTTGCTCCCTTTGACTTCTTTGATTTCTCCTCAAATTTAAACTGTGTGGCCGTTATCAAGCCCAGAAACATCAAACCAGCGAAAGTGTAAAAACAAGGAACGTAATCTACGATCTCGTAGTCTTTATCTTTGCCACAATGGTGAGTTGTTTTAAGGGAAGCGCCGACGACGAAAGCACCGACACCCCAACCAATTGATCCCGTGAGTCTTTGCATGCCGTACTTGTAGGTCTCCGAGCCAAGAAGCTGTAGTGTGGCTGTGTCCACCAAAGCCAATGTTGGTGCAGATATTAAAGTACCGAAAAACGTTATCAAAAATAATGTCATAAAACACTGTGTTGTATCCAATTCTACCCTAACAGTGGTCTTTTCGTCTAAGTTGATGAAAAGTTCCAGAGCCCAAGGTTTGGGGCCTTTGTAAAAGAAAGGCATGTAGTGTTCTTGGCCTCTGCCCAGATCCACCATCTTGTCAATTCCTGGTTCGGGGAACTCCAAGTTTGGGCTATCAATAACGGGTCTGTGTATGTCAATCAGGCTAGAATATTTCGGAGCAGTCATATTACAAAACCGTTTAACCACCACTTTGTTCTTTTTCGGTCCAGGAACCAAACTTAGAGTGAAAGTGGACGTAATCAAGGCGATGATAGAAATAACCATAACCACTTTGCTCTTTTGACATTTATCCACTATGGCGCCCCATATTGGGATAACAAGAAAGTTCACAAACGGCTTAAGGCCCATAAGGATTCCTACTTCGCTCGGTGAAAGCATCAGCTGTTTAAAATACAAAGCTAAGTACGGAAGAAGAGATCCCCAAGCAGAAAAGAAAAAGAAGTAAAACGCTTTCGGAATTAAGAGTTTCCGATTCACATTCGGGCAACATTGCTTATCTTCTTTGTTGTGTTCATGGGCGGCCATCGCTTTCCTTTCTTCACTGGTCATTTCGCACAAGTCTTTCGCATCAGTATATTATTCCCTGAATCATATGATATAAAATACTGTGTTTGAACCCGTAAATGTGGATCAAGGTTTCACGCACAGGAGGACAAAATTGAATTCCTGTCTACGCACGTAACATTTTCAAACATGTGTCCGTTGAACCAATTCGTCAGTTAATGGCTGTCCAGTGACAACATGTGAATTTTTTATGTTCAACCCAGTGCAGGTGCCGTGTTGTTAAGAAACACCAATCGTTTCTTACGCCAGTTTAGCCTGTACTCCCTGAGATGAAAATCCTTTAGGCTACTCAATTAAATTTTGCGACAATATTTAAGAATATGCGGGGTTAATACCGATAGTGACAAATCAACGTTAAATCTGGAAATGTTAAAGTGTTTCTTTTGTTTATAGATTAGTCTCTTGAAGTAGGTGCATGCTTGGGTTTTCGTATTATAATTGTTCTTGGCTAGCATCATAGATATAAAATTGTTCGCCTTGGTTACTAAAATATCCTTTTAATGTCATCATTTAGGAGAGCAAGTCGAATTTTTCTTGTTTCATCATCATTTTCATCAATTCAGACTGCAAGGATTAGTTACTTTTGTCTTGAATAGATTTATTTCTTGATAAATCATTTCCCACCATAACCAAAATTAAACCTGGAAAGCGAATTTTTACAGACTATCGTCTTTACCTTCAGGTCAAAGACCTTTAAGGGCACTCTTCAAGGGAATTTTAACAAAGGGCATTAGACTTTGGTCGAAACGGCTTTGCTCTGATTTAGTATTTACGATCCAAATGTCAGCTTTTCAAAACTGACTGTAGTGGTAAATCAACCGTTATGGTCTTGAAGTCATTCTTACAATGTAGTTGGGTCTGTTTTTGGCTCGCTTTTTGAGTGTTTTAAATTTTTTGCTCTTCTTTTGCATTTCTAGCTTCCAGTTCCTAGCCCCTGGGATTTCTAACTTCCAGTTTCTCGATTTTTCTTGGCTATTAATCTCTTTTTTGACAAGGCCAAGACCACCTGAGTTTTTGGCAGGTGGTCATGGTCTTCTTTACCTTTTTCGTCACAATCTTAAAACCCACTGCCAATTTTAAATGCTCGCAATACTTTATAATAATATTAGTTCTTGCATTGGCTAAACAGCATTATGGAATTTTTAACATTTCAGTTATAATTAGCAATGAAAGAACTTAATCCGAAGAGAATACCAGCACCTGTTGAAAAGAAAATTAAAAATCGCTTTAAACCGCGTAACTTGAAATTAAAGATCTTACTACTCTCCTAAAGTACCCAGAACAAAGGACTCACTCAGCACTCAAAGTTAAAGGTTTGTTGTCATGATCGATCACTTTTGGAACTTCTCGCTCTGCTGAAGATGTCAAATAGTGATTTGTGACACTTTACCGCGAGAGCTTGGGAAAAGTCATGGAATAAAGAGTCCGGCTTCATGCAGTTAATCAAAGAGGTACCTTTGAAGCAGCTTATCAAGTACCAAACACAATCTTAATAGAATTCTAGTATGACAAAAGTTGTTAATTGTATACTCAAGTAAGCGAGTGAAATCCATTTTAGATATGGAAAAAAATTTTTTCTTTTTTACTAAATATTGTTTTTTTCCTATGATTTTTGGCGTAGGACCTTTTTGAAATAGCTATGAGTCTAAAGGTACAACAAACGACGGATTTTTTAACAATGAGAGCAAGAAAAGGGGTTAAGTAGTAAGAACTATGAGTTAGCTGAACAAGCTAAGGGGTACCGAGGAACTGTCGTGGTGGTGTGAGCTTTTCGGAAATGATTCTTATCAATTTTGTTTTCCGTTTTTCCCTTGAAAATTTCATTTCATTCTTAGTTGGGACATAATAATTTGGATATATCAACAAAGTTGAAATGGTAAATTGGCCACCGTAACGATTACAAAAGCTGACGTTTCGAGCGTTAGCCCTTCGTCGGAGACGAAGGGCTAACGCTCGAAACGTCAGCTTTTGTAATCGTTACGGTGGCCAATTTACCATTTCAACTTTGTTGAAATATCCAAATTATTTCGTTACCCCCACCGACGCAGCCCCTAACAGTTTCTTTAGAAACTATCAGCCTTTATTCATTAGTTGGGACACAGTTTGATCATTCGCCAACTTTAAGGAAAAAATGTCCTTTTTCGAATAAGACGCTAGAGCCCAACTCAGTTAATAAAAATGTGATAAACTAATTAAATTAACTTCAGCATTTGACTTTAAGAAAAGACTTCGAGAGTTCTTAGATTAAAAAAAGCGACAAATTTGTGATAACAAAAGCTTGAAAACTCAACTCAACTCCAATAAAAAGGAAGAATCCAATAAGTGTCAATTTAAGGCCAAGTTCAAAATCTGCGGATATGATTGGCTAAATCAAGGGAGAGAGGAGGATAAGATTGTGGTTTGAAACATTACCCACTTTTACAAAAACTTAGGAAAATTTCAACTTTGAATCTAGATATTACTATCACATTCCAAACCTTTCCATCAAATTTAGATGAAAAGAAAAGGCCAGTATTTCGCCTAATACAAGCAATGCGAAGTGTCAAATGTATGATCGGAGGTTTACCCTTTAATAAATATGATATCGTTTTTGTACTTTCTCCTATATGCCCTCTCTTTGTTCCGCCTGTGGAACCTGCTCAGTCATTAAAAACTGTAAATGTTATTCTTTCACTTTCGTCAGTCTCGCGAGTAGAATTTTTAAAATTGGCTTGATTTCAGATAAATCTTCCACAATAATGTTTGCTAAGAATGTAAAAGCTGCGCCTATTGCAAAAACCTTAAAAGCATTTCCCGATCCTACGAAGTTGATCATCACACCTCCAAAAACTTCGCCACACCCATAACCAAGTCCTCTGTAAAATCCACAAAGAATACCTTGATGGGTTGTGACGTTATCGCCTCTCGATATTTCATTCACATACGATTGCATAGCCACGCATGCTAAGGCATTTGTTATTCCAGGCATAAACTCCAACGGAAGGACTAGCCAAGGGTTTGATAGAAACGAATAAGAAGAACAACGTAAAGTAAATCCTGCGGCCGCAAGGTATATAACACGGGTATGTCCCAATCGTGTAATAATTTTGTCTGATAGAAGATACAAACTTACTTCGGCGAAACAGTTTGCTGCTGCAATGATGCTAAATAACAACTGCGTCCCCCCCAAGTCTTTTAAGTGCCAGAATAAAAAGGTTTTCGTGAAGGCGTTGAGGACTCCAAAATAAAATGCAGTAAATAAGAACACAATGTAGCTGATATTGACGCTTTGCTTAAAATCGTTCATCAATCCCGGATTCTTGACCTTCTCATCCTTGGAGTCATACGCAAACTTAAGTTTTGTAGATGTAACGACTGCAAGAAGCATTAAAACTCCAAATGTACAAAAGCAAGGCATATAATTGATATCAGAAGGCTTTGTAAAGGGATTTGGGCAGTGATGAGTCAGTGATACCAAAGCACCGACTAAAAATGAGGCGATTCCCCATCCAACCGATCCCCAAAGGCGCTGGCGCCCATACAGGTGCACATCTGGCCTTAATGTTCGCATTGTTGCTGTGTCTGCGAGCGCTAGAGATGGAGACGAGATAATGTTGCAGACCAGAATGATGATAACTAGTACTGTAAATAATTCTGCAGTGTTGGGTGTCTGTGGAGTTTCCATCTCTTTACTGGTATATGTTAGAGGCCACGGAAGGTCATCCAATATGGAAGACACAAAAACAAAATTCGTCCAGTAACTGGAAGAGTTCCCATGCTTTGTAGCAATATCAGATGAGTTGTTTCGACCCTTGATTGATCGCGATACCGTGCTCAAAGTACAGAGACGCCCAGCTGGTGCTACTAAGGACAGCGAGAACTGAGAAAACGCAGCAACAAACAAAGAGATAAGAAGAACCGATTTCCCTATCTTAAATCGATCCACAACGGCTCCCCAAAGCGGGGTACAAATAAACTCCACAAAGGGTTTCAAGCCCATTAATATACCGACTTCAGTTGGTGTAAGTTTCAATTGCTTGAAGTACAGAGCTAAATAAGGCAGCAGTGATCCCAAAGAAGAAAAATAAAAGAAATAGAACAATTTGGCCGGGATAAGTTTTCTTTCGACGCTTGGACAACAATTTCTCTCGCTGTCGTGTGAGTGTGAGCATGTCTCTTTCTCCCCATAAAGCTCAGTATTTTCATTGGAGCTCATAATTTGCTTACGTTTCCACTGAACTGTATTTAATACAGTGTTTTGTTTCTAAAGAAAAGTTAAAATTATACGAACCAGTTGATTTCGCAAAACAACGCCTTTTCTTTTGAAAGTCGCATGCGTGATCCACGGTTCAGGTTCAAATCCCTCAAACATCCCTTCTCACATATTTACAACTGTAGACTCTGTTGTTAAATTTCCCCTATGGTCATAATTTCTCTCCTCTGTTAGCACATTACCGTAAGCTTGTAAATGAAATTTCTGGCATATTGCACGCCTGAAGTCGTTAACCACCAGCTATAACCAGCCGCCTTATCCCTCTTGATACTTCGATTAACGCCAGAAATGTTATTTTTACACGGTTTTTAGCTTCCTGAACACACGATCCCAATTAACTCGAACAATAGAATGGCATTCTTTGTCATGTAAACTCTAATTATTTTTTGTGTTGAAACAGACAAAACGAAGTGGTTACGAGAAGACAGCATGTAACTTTCTAACAAAGACCATGCCTTGTCTGTGCCACGCACGAATCCAAAGATCAGTCCATATGAAGACGACGATTTAAAAAGTCTTTCGAGTTAAATATTAACTGTTGAAGGCTGTGTTTAGATATGAGAGAGGTAAAAAAAAAACCATAGTATACAATTTTTTCCACAGAAGCTCCTAAAGGTGTAGAAAATATTACTTTCCTGAAAACCTCTCTTTGTTTGATCATTATTATTCCTAAAATCTCAAAATTTTGTTTAAATAGAGAGAAAAGGAAATAACATGCGGTTAATCTGAGTCATGTGTATCCTGTTTCTAAATAAAATAAGAAAGATGGTAAATCGTGAGCTCGGTAAAGA